GCTCAGGGTCCTGTGTCTGGGGGCCACCGGGAGCCACCGCACCGCCAGGAGGCTGGGAACTGTGCCGCTTCCAGGGGGACAGAGATGAGCGTCGGACGTGTCCCGGCCACGGCGCCTCTCCCACCCCCTCCCGTGCTTACCTCCTGCTCACGCCTTCCCACCACGAGCTGTCGCTGGCCGCCTGGGTGTCGGGCCAAGGTCCCTGGTGCCACCCTATGGGGGCCGGGGTCTACCGCACAAACAGGAGCCGGCGTGAGAAGGCTGAGCTGTGTGCCACCGACCGTGAAGAGAGGGAGTGGCAGGGCCGTGTCCACAGTCCGTGTGTGTGCTGTGGCCGGGGTGACGCGGCCCCGTGTGCCCCCTCCCACCTGGGGGATGTGGAGCAGAAGCGGTGGTGGAGGGCAGGGGTTCTGGAGTCGGCGGTGGCTGCAGGGGTCAGGACGTGGGCACAGAGGAGCGTGTGACAGCCCTACGGGGACGTCCCCAGGCTCCTCGCCTACCTCAGGACACCCGCAGCCCCCTCCCGGAATCGCTACCCCTCAAGCCTTCCCTATGCCAGCCTCTCTGTTGGGGGGGGGGTCTCTTGCTCCCCGAGACCCCCGTTCTGCTCCCGCATGGCCACCACTCGGGTTCCCAGTGCCCATTTGTGGCTGCCAGACCGTGAGCACCGTGTCAGAGGCCGTGTCCTGACGGCGACTGCTAGGGGAGCCACCCCCCGCCTCGTATTAGGCACAAGGGCTCCGAGGCAGCTGGGAACCGAGGCCCCAGGATGAGGGCACTTCCTAGCCTCCCGTGCCGCGACACGGGAGCCGGCTCTGGCCAAGGGGGTGGGGACCGGGGAGGTGTCCTCACAAGGGCAGGACCGGGGTGGGAGCGTGCCTATACGCCTCTCCAGGGTCCCGTTCTTCCTGCAGGCTGGGGAGCAGACATGACGGCCACAAGGCAGAAGATCTTATCTGAGGGTCACGGGAGCAACCCGATTAAAGGAATCTGGGGTCCTGGTGACCATGAGGTCACCTTTGCAGCCCTATTGCCCGCCTGGACTCGGGTGTGCAACATCAGAAGCAAACACCGATTTTGTCTCAGCCGACGTTATTGGGGCTTTCTGTCCTTAGCAACTGAATCTAATTGTATGGTATCCCCGGGGCCTGGCATGTTGCCTTGACGTTGGAAGCAAAGATTGTTGAATGAATGAGTGACGGAGAGCAGGGTAAGATTTGGCGAGAGAGGAGGGAGTGCACTGCCAGGTGGCGAGCCCGGGGTGTGGAGACGCCCCCTCCCTTGGGGACGGGGCGTGCGTGGGCTCTGCCGTTCCCAGGAGGGGTGGCAAACCCGTCCTTCACTGAAGATGCGACTGGCGGAGACAACACTCACGGTTTGCTTTTGCTTTTTTCTCTGCCACTCCTTCTTGGCGTCAAGTACCTTGGGAGGCTGTTACAAGTCTCACGCCGGAGTCGAGCTCCTAGGAGCCCAGGGCTGTGACGAGAGCGGTCTCAAACGCTTGCCACGTGCTGGGCCCCTGCCGCCCCTTCCCCGCGTGTGCCCCTCTCCACGTGTCCCCTGCACAGGAGCCTCGGCACCCCCGCGCTCCCGGATCCGCCCAGCCCTCTACGTCGCCCGCGCTTGGGCCGGCCTCACCGAGTTACACGGGGGACACCGCGCGAAAAGGGAGACCGGCAGGTACAGCTCACGTGCTCACTCATGCCCTCGGCGCTGCCCTTGAGGCCACCCCGTGCGCCAGGCCGTCCTCTGTGTGCTGTTGTGCAAGCCTCCCCTCAGGGGACCCCTCCTGCTGTGGGCAGGACAACACCTACCAGGGTGATGGTTCCATCCTGAGGCGCACAGGGGTTGTTACCTGCTGGGAACGGTGTCATCGGCAGCACGAAGGAAGCAGGGACCTGTGTCTCCCGTCACGATGAGTCTGGGGGCGCACTTGGGGCAGAGGCTCCCCGTCCTCGGCTTGGGACCCATCTTCTTCCTCCCGGAATAGCCGCTGTCCTCCGCACATTGCCCACACTCTGGGCTGGGACAGAAGAAGGCAGGACAGTCAGATGAGCTGGCCGGCCTCCTCCGTCCCTTCTGGAGGGGCCTGAAGACTGCTGTGCCTTCTCCCGTCACCCCCCCCCCCCCCCCGTCAGGACGGTCACATGGCCAGCTCTAGCTGCCAGTGACGCTGGGCACATTCCCGCCCTGAACAAAACTGGAGTTCTGTCGGTAAGGGACAACTGGAGACTGGGCCACAGCGAGTCAGGTGCTCACGAGACTTGATGGATGGACAGATGAGGGCTACGGGAGCAGGGTGGACCTGCAAACCTTGCGGTCTGGGCAGGGGTGAGGGAGCCGGGCTCCAGAGCATGGAGAGCAAGGGTGCGGGCGGGTGGCTCACTGCAGACCCCACGCTGACAGCGTTTGACCCGGAGATCCAGCATAACCATGGAGAAGCCCGTGTTGCTCCTGAAGCCAGAGCAAATTTCCAGGGCGGCTTTAGTGGGAGCTGCACGGAGGCTCCTTCTGGAGACCCTCCACCCATCCCTAACCTTGTGGCTTACACGCCTGCCGAGGCCTAAAGGGAAGATCCACACGGGGGTGGGGGGGACCTCTGAGCTAAGCCAATCCCTGCTCTCAGGTAACAACCCTCCCTGCAGAAGCCGATGCCCGTCACTCGTCCTGCGGGCCATAGAGTTCAGCCCAGCGGTCGGCCTCACACTCCAGCAGAGCCAAAGTGTCCGGCTTTCAGGCGGGCATCTGTCTCGGGAGACCTCTCTCTGGAAGCGCCTAAGCCGTGGTCAGCAGTCACCATCGTGACCTCTGCGTGGCTTCCTTTGCATTCCAGCTGTCCTGGGGGCAGGGTACGAGCTCTGACGGAAGTCGGGCTGGCCTGTGAAATGGGCACAGGCCGTCGGCCCCAAGGCTGCGGTGAGCACACGAGGCCCAGCCCCGGCACAGGCTGATCCGAGCCAACGTCGTGCTGGCCTGCTCTTTTCGCCTCTTCCTCCCCACCCGTGCACGCAACACACAAGCACACACACGTACCACACACAATCATCCCCCTGCTCCCATCCGAGCATACCCGCTGCACACCCTTGTGTTCACACTCGTGTCGTGCACACGCATTTGCCCAGTGTCCACGTGCACGCCCTTGCACTTGTGTGCTGTGCATACACGTACCCAGCACTTGTTCACACACACATCTGTGCCCAAACTGAAGATCCCGTAATGTCACGGGCATCAGGGAGCAGGGCGATCCAGGAGTCCTGGCGGACAGGAGGCGGCCCGCGCCCAACCCCTGCATGGAGATGCTTGGCCGTGTGGGGACAACCCTGCCCACACCCCTCCAGGCCTGATCCCCAGCAGTTGTTAGGACGCTGCCTTGGACCTGGGCCGAGGAGGCAAGGCTGGTACGGAGGCGGGAAGGACCCAGCCCCAGCGGCGGCTCAGGGCTCGCCTGCGGGCAGGCAGGCTCAGGCACAGGGCATGCGGGCCGGAGGGCACACAGCCACCGGTCCAGCTCTTCAGGGGGCGCAGGCAGCGTGCAGGAGGGAGCCCGACCCCACGAAGGTCTCTAGAGGGCCAAGTGCTGCTCCTGGGCAGAGGCCCCGGGGGGCTGCCACCCGGGGCGAAGGCCTCTGAGGCCGAGGGCTGGGCTCGCCTTGTCCAAGCTCACTTTCATCCTCACCCTCCTCACCCCCGCCCGCCTTGGTTCCACGGATGGGAGACCGAGACTCGGGGGTGACAGCGCACCTGCCACCTCAAGGGGCTGGGGAAGGGACTGAGCGTTTCCGGGGACCCTCGTGCGGCCCTCGAGGACCACGGCCTCGACGCCAGCCAGGAGCTCCAGTCAGAGAAGGCTTTCTGGCCCAGCCGGCCGCCGTCTCTGGCCGTTTCCGGTCGTCCACGCGGGGCAGTTTGGGACTTGTAGTCCTGAGGCGCACGCCGTCCACGGCGCGGCGCGGCGCGGCTCGAGTGGCCATTGGCTGGCGCAAGGCGCCGAGGCCGATGGGACTGGCGGGGGGCGGTCTCGCGGCGTTCGCCCGGCGCGGGAGAGGTCGTCACGTGATGTTTGGGTCCCGGCTCCGCCCCCTGCACCGCCCCTCCCGCCGAGAGCGAGCGCAGCGCGCCCGCGAACCACCCCGGCCCAGGTGAGGTGGCGGGGTCAGGCCGCGGGGCCAGGCAGAGCCAGGGGGGCCCTTCCGGGAAGGGCGCGCGGCCCGAGGTGTGGGGGTGCGGGGGTCGGGGGTCGGGGGTCGGGAGGGGCGCGCGGGGCCTGCGGGGGCGGGGCGAGGGGGTGGGGCCTCCGAGGGAGGGGCTGGCCGCGGGAGGGGGCGGGGCCGGCGCGGGGCGTGGTCAAAAGGGGGGCGTGGTCTCGGCGGGAGGCCCGGGTGGACGGGGGCGGGGCGGACGGGAGGGCCGGGGGCGCTCCGGCTCCGCCCCCAGGGCGCCCTTGCTGGGACCCACCTGAGGGCGCATGCGCGCGGTCTCCCTGAGGCCTCGGTTCCCACTTGTGGGGCGCAGGGGGCGGCCCTCAGCCACAAGGCCTCGGGGGCGGCCCCTCCGCGCCTTTCTGCCCTCAGCCACGTTTGGCTTACGAGGCGCCTCCCGGTTCTGAGCGCGAGGTCCTCCCGCCCGAGTAGTCTGCAGGTGACCAGGTGTGACCTGGCGCCGTGGGAGCCCAGCTGGGGCCTCCTGTCGGGGACCTCACTCACTGCTCCGGGGCCCGGGGCTCCGTGGGCGCCGTCCGGCGTGGTGGCAGCAGCCACGCGTGGCACAGGTATGGAACGCTGCCCCGTCGCAAAAAGTTCTGCGGGCCTGGCCGCTGGACGAGATAGGCCTCTGCCGTCGCAGCCTCACCTGGCCCGCTCCCTCCGCTGCCCGCCTCGGCCCTGCTCCTAGTTCTGGGGGCTGGGCGGCTCCCCTGACCACCTCTCCCGCCAGGGTTTGCCTCCCTGCCTTTCTGGCTTCTTCTGTTCTGTCACTGCCACGCGTGTGTGCCGTCCCTGGGAGGCAGGGATGGGGGTTCTCCACTCTACCCTAGCAGGGGCGCCGAGTTTGGGTGAAAGACACAGGTGACGCTCGTCAGTCTTGCAGTGTCCAGCCTGTTTAAGAGGGTACTCTGGTGAGGTTCCGCTTCTCCTGTTCTGGGTCCTCGGTAGAAATCTGGTGCAGCAAATGCCTGCCCAGGACAGCACGGGATCAGGAGCCAAGTCGCCATTGCAGGCGGCTGTGGGAGATGGGCAGATCCGAGAAGGCTTCCTGGAAGAGTGGCGCTTTGGCCGGGCCACCTCCACATCTGTCCTCCGTTGGCCTGGCTGCCCTGTGTCCAGATGACTTCCCTGTGCGGGTGAGATGGGTGCCTGGCCACAGGCGCTGCTGTCTGCTGGGTCACAGGCAGGCAGGTGTCCTTAAGCCCCTTCTCCAGCTCCCTGCAGCCTGCAGGGTGAAGGTCGGGGTGTGGCTGCTGCCTGTCCCTCCAGTCACATCTTCCACGGCCTGCTTCAGGTACCCAGCCAGTTCGGATGCTTTGTTTCCTGCATCCCACGTCGTTTTTTTCACCGACATGACAGTTAGGTCCTCTGCTTGGAATGCCCTAGTGTTCCTGATATCCCCTTTGGAACCTTCCTGTCCCCTGCCTCCCCTGGATGAGGTTCACCCACAGGCTCGTGGCCCTGGGCCCTGGTGCTTAGCTTGCCTTCTCTGCTGCACTGAAGTGATCCGTCTGTGTGTGTGTGTGTGTGTGTGTGTGTGTGTGTGTGTGTTTATCTCGCACACGTGGCTGAGAGCCCCTGGGGCATAGGGACCTCCGTCTTGGTCACCCTTGCATCTTGGGTGCCTAGCCCAGAGTCTGGAGTGGTGTGGGCGCCCAGCAGGCTGCGATGAGAGAGTGGACTGGTGACACAGGGCAGCAAAGAGTGCATGGTGAGAAATGCAGTCATGGCTGGGCGTGTGTTCAAGACGAGGGGAAGCTAAAGGCAAGGAGGCCGGCTTACCTTTCGGTTACCTTCCAGTTGGGGAGAGAAGACTCGTACTGGACCAAGCACTCCCTGGGCCCTTAACGACAAGGATGGATGTGTGCTGCAGGGTCCCAGAGAAGGGGGAGGGCTTCCCAGGGTCCCAGAGAAGGGGGGGGGCTCCTCCCCGGCCCCCAGGGGGGGGGGGCTTCCCAGGGTCCCAGAGAAGGGAGGGGTCTTCCCAGGGTCCCAGAGAAGGGAGGGGTCTTCCTGGGGTCCCAGAGAAGGGAGGGGTCTTCCCGGGGTCCCAGAGAAGGGAGGGGTCTTTCCGGGGATGCAGAGAAGGGGGGCTTCGCAGGTCATGGGCTTTGAGCCGGCCAGGCAGCACGGTGATGTTTGGTCGGCCAGAAAGGGCGGGTGGGTGTCGTGGGGTTTAACACTAGTCGTACCTGCCGTGCTCACGTGGTGCTCTGGGGGCCAGGCTCTGGTCCTCAGCTGTTTAGGCTCCATAGCTCAGTTCATTTCCACAGTGAGCCCGGGACAGGGCCTCTTATGTTTTCATAGTACAGATGAAGAAACTGAGGCACAGGAGAGGAGACTTGCCCCAAGTCCCTTAACTGTGAAGTCCTAAGGTACCACCCATCCAGCCTGGGACACCGATGCTTCCAAGGTTTGGGCACCTTGTTGTTATTCCTGTTTGGGGTGAACAGCTGGCCCAGGCTGAGGCCTGATTGATTGATTGAATTACTTATTTATTTACTTACTTACTTAACTTACACACTGTGTGCGTGGTCAGTGGATCCGTCCCGACTGCCGTGTGTGTGCAAGTGGAACTAGGTGTGCGGCTCAGGGCAGCTGGAGTCGATGCCGTTTGTCAGAATCCGGTTTGGGTGGCGACAGTCAGGACGGACTCGCTGGTAATCTGAAGCTGGGCGTCCTGTTGGACTCCGGTTCTGCGCCCCCGGCCGCCCCGCGCTGCCTGTCTCCTGAGCCCACCCCGGGCCCGTGCCGCAGCCTGGGTGACAGAGCAGACAGACCAAAGGGACGGGGTGGGGGCCCTCCTGCGCGGCCAAACGACTGGTGGTTCAGCATTGGTGCCGGCCTGTGCTTCTGCGCCCTGCCGTGAGCAGCCTGATCCCGCTTGGGTGTGCGGAGGCAGGTGACGAGAGTTACTGTACCTGTTGCCAGGTGACGGCCTGGGGCCCAGGGAGGGCTCCTCCTGCACCCGAGCTGGGCCTCCGTGGCAGATGCAGCCGGCCTGCCCCCCGACCCCCCACTCACGGGAGCCGCACCTCTGAATGCCCGTCTGTGGCCCGGGCCTGGAGCCGGTGGCTGCGGGTGGCTGTTTGTTGAAGAAGCGAGGTTGGTTGTGACAGAGCCGGCTGGAACCTACGGTCAGCGCTCCTGTGGAGCCAGGGAACCTCTCCTAGGAAGGGAGTTAGTTGTCTTGGCCCACATCCCGGTGGAGAAAACAGGACTCACCAACGAGCTGAACCCGGTGCCTTGCAGGTGCCTGAGCCAGCCGAGCAACAGGGACGGTGGTGTCTCCCGGGGGCCCTTGGTTCCGTGTGTTCCCTGCATCCCAGGGCTGCCCTCCGCAGCCTGTTACAGCTATGGGATTGTCCCCGTCAGCCTGAAACCCTAGTAAGGGTTGGGACAGGTGTGAAGTAAAGGAAAGGTGATTCCACACTTGGCTTCAAACCCAAAGCACACTGGGTGGAGCCCTTCCCCGCTCGTAGGTCTGCCCCAGGCTTGGGGAAGCCTCGTCAGGACTCGACCCAGTTTGGGGGGCTGCAGGCGTCCTGACAGGTGTGCTGGGCCAGTGCCTGAACGCACAGGATCTCTGGCAGGGCCCCTCCCACGGTCTCTGCTCAGGGCTGCCATCTGAGGTGTGGAACACTCTTCAGGGAGTTTCGAAGGCCGGGTCTTGCACAGAGGCTCAGGGTACGTGGTGAGCAGCTGGGGGCCACCCCGACGGCTTTCCTGGCGTCCTCAAGGATGCTACCGTGCATATGTCACAGAGTGAGGTCACAGTGAGTGGTCAGCGAGGGTGTAGAGAGGGCCCCCGCTCTGCGTGTGGCTGTGGGTGGGGCTGGAGGGTCTGGGTACATACCTGGGAAGGGGTCTGGGTGTTGGTGAGGCCTCAACTGACTCTTGAAAGCTGAGCGCCATCCGGGCTCGGGGGCGGGAAGGAGGCTGCAGGCAGCAGGAGACCCGAGGGAAGGCATAAAGGGGTGCAGGTCTCCCACAGGCCAGCCTGGCTGAGGATCACTGGGGGAACTAGGCTGGGGGGCGGGGCAGGGGTCTGGGCCAGATGGCACCCAGGGCTGGTGGTGGGAGGCTGCCGGGGGCAGTGGGAGGTCCAGGCCTGTGGGCCCCGTGGCTCAGTATCATGTGGCTGGGTCTGTGGTGGTGTAACAGTGCCGCAGATCCCCTCGGTGGAGGGATCACGGGCCGGGGACCGGGATGGCAGGGTGCTTGCGGGGCTCCTGCTTTGGGAGAGCAGAGCCTGGTCGTCACGCTGACCCCATGAGCCCCCAGCCCGGAGCTCTGGCCCGGTAAACCTTTACTGTTTTCTTTAATGGATCGACGGGAAATGGTCTTATTTTCTGTCTCTGATGTCCCCTGAGAGGGGACTGGGACCAGCCCTGACTGAGTTAGCATCCTGCTATGGAAACAGTGAGGCCCTGCAGATGTGGCAGCTCAGGGTCTTAGTTGTGGCGTGCTGACTGATGTCCTCATTAGTGTGTCCCCGAGCTGGCCCTTTGTGGTCCTGCAGCCATCCGGGCAGCGGGGGCCGTCGCAGGGGCGGACACTGAAGCCCTGGGGTGGGGGAGGGGTGCCCAGGGTGCGGGGAGGGGGGTGCTGTGGGGCTGAGGGAGTGCCCCCCTTCTGAATGACCTCGGGCTGGACCCCCCCTTCGGAGGGCCGGCTCTGCTGGACGGGGAAGGTGAGGTGTGGGTCGTTTTCGAGTTGGATTAGCAGGAATGCGGGGGGACCGACCGTACTCACCCCTGATTATTGACCTCTGGTGTCTGCCTGGCCCCTGCTGGGCTCCTTGTGTTCCTCAGATCAGGAGACTTCCCCGGCCTGGGTGGCTCATCCACAGGCACAGGCCCATAAGGGACCCGTCTGGTCATCCCTGAGCTGCCCCGTCTGCCCCGCATTCTTGTCCCACTGCTTGGGGACTGGAAGGCGCCTCCGCCCTGAAGGATGCCCTGTGAGTTAGTGGCCGTGTTAATGGTGCCGTGATTATGTTATACAGACTTAATCCTGGGCCCCTCTCCCATTTGGAGCTGCCATCAGGCTCATTCTAAAGGAGAGCTTGGCAAAGGTCTGAGGGCTTTAGGGAATCCAGGTGTCAAAGTGCAAACTATCGCCTGGGGACTGGAGGCCGAGGCGGACCAGTGAGGCTGGATGGAAGGGGGTGGGGGGATGGAATGAGCTCATTGGTGGCTGGTGGCTGGCTCTCCCCGACCCACGGAAAGATGTCCTGTCACTGAGTCAGCATTCTCAGGGCTTTGGGGCCTGGTGCCACGCTTTGGCACCCACCTGTTCACATGTGTCCTCCTGTCCCCCGGGGCAGACCCTGGGTGTGGTCTGAGGGGTGCAGACTGGGCCCGCAGGGGACACTGGGGCTGCAGGGTGGCTGTGACGGAGGAGGGGGATGGCCTCTGGGGAAGATGGCGGGAGGGGGGGCAGACAGGCACCCTGAGGGACAGTGGGGGCATTAAGGTGCTGGGCAGAGGCAACACGGAGGAGATAGGTGCCCCCCCCCCCCCCCCCCCGGCCACCTTTGGCTGCCTTCCACTGGGATCCATAATCCATCCCAGCCAAGTCTTTGGAAGGGGGCATGTTTTTGAACCAGCAGCCCGGAATCAGTCTTCCCCCACATTAGACCCACTCAGCACAACAGCCCCCTTCCCGGGCTGGGCTCCTGCTCCGCACCGGCTTTTAGCAGCTGTGCTGACGAGGAGTCGAGGAGTCGGACTCATTACTCAGGTCTGACCTCCTTCCCCTGCTGCGTCACCCACAGCGAGGGTGCTAATGAGTGTGGGCCGGTGGTGGGGGCAGAGCCCCGTCTCCTCCTTCCTGGTCCCGGGTCCAGAGAGTCTGCAGCCTCCAGCCGGAGCTCCTTGCTTGTTCCTCATGCTTGGCTGTCCTTGCCGAGGCGTGGTGCTGGTCGGTCTGTCCCTCTCCTGCGCGCAGTACTTGGGGGTTGCTCGCACCGTAGGGCCGCCTCCCTCCCTCGGCTTTGCAGCTCCTCGCCGTCTGACCTGATCACCTTTCCGGCCTTCGGTCAGCCTGCCCGGCCGACTTCTTGGCCTCCCGAGCCAGATGTCAGCTCTGCTGTGTGTCTGTCTGTCTGGAACAGCCGGTGCCAGCCCTGCCGGGTGGTCCCCTCCAGGTGAAGGCTGGGTTGAGTTCTGCTGTCTGGAAGCCTGCCCCGTCTGTGGGGCCTGCTTGAGTCCTTCGGGAGGGCAGGGCACACAGAGTCTCACGTGGCTGGTTCCTCGCTGCCCGTGGTGTCGGGCTCCCCGTGCGCTCCCCTGGGTCACCCGTGGCCCCAGGCAGGGATTGGCACATAGTAGGCGCTCGATAGGCACTTGTGCAAGCACCAGCTAGCAGTTGGAAAGGGCTGTTACCCTCTGCTGGGCCCCTGGTGCACCTGGGGTCACCCCCACATCTCCAGCGGGTGGGAAGCTGTGAGGGGCACGGAGAGCATGGGTGGGCCAGCCCTGAGCAGGTTACTCACGTGTGCCGTGTGCACTCCTCACAGCAAAAGGAGAGGGCTGCTTGGAGCTGGAGCCGGGGCGGGGCGGGGTGGGAGAGGGGTGACTCCCAGCTCCCTGCTTCCCAGGACAGGGGTGAGCCGGCCGCCACGGACCTTTGGCAGGTGGGTGATGTGTGCACAGTGCCGTGGGGGCCCTGAGGAGCGCCTCAGGCTGTGAGCTGAGTGCATGGTGGGTGGTCTTTGTGTCACTGATGGGAGCAGGACAGTGGGCAGGTCCCTTCTCTTGGACTGCGAGAGGGGGCTTCGTTCTCCCAAGGCCGGAAGCAAGCTCGGCAGAGCTGGGAGTGGAAGCCCGCGTGTCGGCCATGGAATCTGGGCTCTGTCTTTCGCCGGCTGCCCCGTGGCACTGTGGAGCCTGGAGTGTGGAGAGCTGCTAGGCCAGCAGGTTTGACATCACTCACTGGGACCGGGCATGGGGGCTCTAGTCACCCCTGCCCTGTGTGCCCCTTCCCGTTACCCAGAACAGCTCTGGATTCATGTGTCACCTGTACTTTCCAGTACCGTGCATCCGAAGGAGGGATTCTGTCACCGGGGACAGTTGTGAACCTGGTTCGGCATTCATGGTACACGCGGGGAGCAGAGGCCAGAGCTGCCTGCCCCTGTGGCCCCAGCCGTGCCCGGCCTCCTGGTCTGACAGCACGTTGGGGCAGACCACCTGCTACCTCTGTGGCTCTGGCCACCTGCAGGAGGGTGTGGAGGCCATCGTGGGAGAGGGGCCCCACGGGCAGCACGGAGGAGGGCCAGGTTGGTGGGGGTGAGGTCAGACAGACGGGTGTAGGCGCGGATGTGATTGGGCGGGTGGGGGTCCTAAGGATACAGGCTGGCTCTCGCTGCCGTAGGTAACAGCGTCCCCCAGGTGATCCCCCAGGGATCGGCGGGACGGGCTCGGTGCCGTCAGAGACCCAGGCTGACCGAGCAGCCACCGTTGAGAATGTAGCCTTCCCGCCACAGGGAAAGAACTCTGGGGCTCTGGTCCTGGGAACTAAACGCTTGGCTCAGAAGGGAGCTGGGTTGCTTTTGTTCCCAACTCGTTGTCCGGAAGGACTCCAGTGGCTCTGCCTCAGGGGACCGGGGACAGTGGTGCCGCCCTGCTTCCCGAGGGAGGAAACCAGACTTGGTGGCCAGCTCTGCTGATGCTCACACCGCCTGGGCAGGTGACTTTGTGCATTTGGAAGACCACCCTTCTCTCCTGGGCTTCCTCCCTCTTCCTCCTGGGGGGGTCCCCTGTGCACAGAGAGCTTGGGCCCTG